TAATTAATTAATTCTGAATGTGAGCAGGTCAGAGAGCATAGTCCACCAAGAAGAAGAAGAAGAAATTAAGAGTGTAACTCGATTCGGACTTTGTGCTGCTTTCTGTTGCGAAACCGTGAACAGTTGACTTTCTGAGATGCGTCGCCCTGCAGTCAGATGGTANAGGCGATACGTTCCTCCGAAACGTCGGTTAACACCACATATACACGGTGCCAAATCCCAGAAGACTGCTTTCTTCATAGTCACCGCCGTGAAAGCCTCAAATCTTACATAGTAATTTACCAATTTTCGGAGGAACATACTGCGTCCGTCTTCAGGGTCAGGGAGTAATACAAGCAAGTAACAAACAGAGCAGCAGATATGAACCTCCTCAAAACCCGTTACATATACGGGCTGTTCAGTATCATGGTGATGATACGAAACGTTGCAAATCGAAGTGGCAAATAAATTAATTTTCGGGGCGTTTATTTTTCCTCTTTTTCAGAGTTCTCTCGATCCTGGGTTTCCTTAAAGGGGATCCCCCCCGTGTTTCGCCTGCAAGCAACGACAGGCCCGCCAATTTGGGAGGGGGTAGAGTGAGTGAAGGCCGAAAGTCACCATCCTGTGCTCAAAACTTCCTGTTTGATAGCCGCGATACAGCCAGCTTTACCTCTCTGCTTTGAGGCTAGAAATTCTGACACTTTTCTTTGTTTTCCTCCCGCTGAATCCTGGGATAGTACTTTGAAACAGACTTCAAAAATTTCTTTCCGCATTTCCTCAATTCATCTATTACACGCCATCTGACTTACATAATTGGGAAGATATCGTTATATTATATTTATATATGACGAGACCTTTCGAGAAGTGTATATTTCGCACATATAACATGTTATCGAAAACTCTTCCTTTTGTTTTACACAAAAGTCCTCTGTCAGTACAGGCTTTGCAGAGCAGATCGTGTCTATCTTACGTATCTTATGCTACAACGGCAGATTGGTCACTTGAACGGTCGTAAACATGACCACCGCCAAGTTTAATGCTCTTATATTTTCTCAAGAATAACTCAAAGTCACATTGCGACTAACGGTCAGTCAGTAAGTCTTTGTGTCGAGCCCCATCTGGAGCTCATGAACAGATATTTATTACTCTTTCATAATTACGGTCTTGATTTGTGAGGCGCCCTCTCTTACGAGAAGACGGGTCTGTCTTTTGTATATGCTGCCTTTGTATGGTCCAGGTCCCTTGGGATTCGCGATCATATTTTACTGTCTCAGATTTCAGACTTCGCTTTTCGTCGCCTCCTACGACTCGCAGGGTCGCGGTGGAGGTATTGATCCTGCCTCCACACGTGGGTCAGTCAAGAACGACTGAATTGTTGATCCTCGCTATATATCCCCGGCATGGACCGTACAGAAAACTTCTCTTCCATTCTTGCGTTTTCTCTCGTTGCCTGGGAACCGTGTCCACGGAGCTGTTTCCTAGCAATGGCTGCAGTACTGTCGCCTGTTTCCACAGCTGTTACTTGGCAATGGGTTTACATGTCACAGTACTTCAGCCGTATAAGAATTAATTTGGCTTGCTGTACCGTTTTGTAAACTTGGCGCGCAGTTAGTGAGTTGGTTGACATGAATTGCGCAAAAATCCTTGGCCTTCCCACCCGGACGGGAACTAAGCGCTGTGGGAGGTTTGTAGAGGTTCCAATTACGGAATAAGGCAGATCTGAGGAGACGGATTTTGCCAGTTCGTACAGATGAACTTCCTGTAGAACTGAATGTTATTTTATTCTAGAATGTGACCCCATATACCAAGGTTTCGGAGTAACATACTGCCTCCATTTTCAGGGTTGTTTTCTTTTGAGATGTGACATCTCGTAAAGTGTTAGGTACAAACACGCTACCTCGGTCTTCAGTACGGTCTTCTGGCATGTCACGGCGTGTAGTGTGATAGTTAATGTACGGCCTCTGTCTTCAGCGTACAGCTGGTAGAAGTGTTTCCTGTAACACATGAGTACGCGTGTGCCCACGCTGCGGCGCACGTGTGTGTTTTGTTTGTTACACAAGGCCACGTGATCGTGCGCAGAAAACTACTTTTATTGTACCAGGCAGACACACTCGATCGGCAGCCATACCGATATGACAGGCACGGCACGTGTCGTGGAAGGTCAGTAATTTTGCAACAGACAGTACACGAACATGCTGCCCGTTGCATATACGTTCTTACAGCCTTCTGCGTTTTGTATATACTGTAATGTGTAACGCACTTGTCGCATTGGAATTGCTTTCTGTCGCTCGCGGTGAAAAGCTACAAAAATGTCTGCTCGCCTGTAGCAATTCGGGAACCGTTGGAAGGATTTTAATTAAATTTGATATCGAGGAGTTTCGCCAAAAATTCTGGTTACATTCTACTTTTAGTTAAAATCGGACAACAATACCGGACAGTTCACACGAAGACCTACAAGCGATCCTGCACACCTTTCAGGCGTATCTCGCCAAATGTTTATCGGAGCGAGAAATTCTTCGGACAGAACTTGCACAGAAAAGACGAAAGACATCTTAGAAAATTGCATGCCTTTACATGGGCTGAGGATGTCTGGGAAAAGCGGACTGAGGGAAATATTAGGACGGAAGAGGGACGAGGCGATAGCCAAGTGTGACTACAATGATCAAGTCAAAGGCGATGAGATGGGCATAGCATGTAGCATAAATGGGTGAGAAGAGGAATGCGTATACGATTTTGGTGGCAAAGTCAGAAGGAAAGAAACAAGTAGGAAGATCTAGACGTAGAAGGATAATATTAAAATGGATCTTAGAAAGAATAGGGGTAGTATGAATTGACTTGATCTGCTTCAGGATAGGGACCATTGAGAGGGTTACTGTGAACATGGTAATTAACTTTCGGTTTCGGTAAAATTTTGGAAAATTCTTGAGCAGCTGCGCAACTGGCGGCCGCTCAAGAAGGGCTCAGCTCCATGGAGTTAGTTATGAATACATTTTCTAATTCGTTAAGTTTAGACTGTGTTTGAAGATATGTTAATATTACGGGCCCCGCCATAGCTCAAGCGGTTAGTCGCTGGCTTCCCACCGCGGCGGCTCGGGTTTGATCCCGGGTCTGGTCAAGTGGGATTTGTGGTGGACAAAGTGGCGCTGGGGCAGGTTTTCTCCGAATACTTCGGTTTCCCCTGCCAATCTTCATTCCACCAAATTCTCCATCATCACGTTAACAGTGTTAGTCACTGGCCTCTGAGCTCTGTGTTGTCCTATCCACTGCAGAAACAGTAATGCTAGCTCGAGGCTTCGTGTTTGAGAACAGGGCGGTGAGGGTAATAGTAGGACTTTTTTACTGCTAGTGGGGTGGGAGTAAGTCCCTTGTACTGCGGCCACTTCTGGCCTATTGTACCAGCCCCAGATGATAGGTGAGGGTGATTGTGGAGCAATTGGTGGAATGAAGAGTGGCAGGGGAAACCGAAGTACTCGGATAAAACCTGCCCCAGCGCCACTTTGTCCACCACAAATCCCACTTTACCAGACCGGGGATCGAACCCGGGCCACCGTGATTGGAATCCAGCGATTAACCGCTTGAGCTATGGCGCGGCCTGATATTAGGACTTGAAAGGGATGAAATAAGGGTAAGCTGGAAAGAACTGCACAAGTTTTACCCTCCACACCAAGGAGGTTAGTTCAGGGGACACGGATTTGTATTCTAGTGGTCAACGATTCCAATCCCGGCTTGCGCACCGACTGTCCTGAGGTTTCGTGGTTTTCCCCGATCCCTTAGGCAAATTCCAGGATGATATCCGAAATTAGGACAGAGAAGTAGCGAGGCAGCGGTTGCAGTTGCATTAGACTGCTATAACGCATGCGCACCCCGCAATCCTTCTCTCAGTTAGTGGACTCGACTGAATACACTGGGCAATCCGTTGAGAGTGGCCAGGTGTAGGAAATCGGACTGTAGGCAGTTTCCACTGTAACACAAAACTTAGCGGTTCTACGCCTCGGAGCTTCATTACAAGATCACGTGGCGCATTCCTTGATACGACGAGACTGCCAGGACTGCGGCGTCTAGACACGAGGCGAGATGCGAACTGAGTGTAAGTCTTCTGGGCTTGAGGTTTTCACAGCGGTGACTGTTGGGATTTGAGGAAGCCGCAGTCTCATAGAAGTCCGCCGACGTTTCGGGGAAACGAACTGCCTCCATCATGATCAAAGTCGAAGAATAAACCAGGTGACCAGCAAGCTGAGCGAAACAGTGGCTCCCTAAGTCGACGCGCGTTGTCTTGGCATCGATCCCTGTTTGAGCCCTTGACCACAGCGTGACGTAGTAAGACATTTACGTTCTTAGCACGTGATACCCCCTCCCTGTGGAGAAGAGCACACGCGCAGTGAGCATTGCGACACTACAGACAGCGGCCGTGGCCCCCAACGTCACCAGTCCACGTGAGCTCTGTTTCTGGTTTTCAGTTCGTAAATTAACGGCGCTGTCAGCGTCGAGACTATACAGCGCCGACGACAGGATGATTAATGAGTATGGAGCAGTTGGTGGAATGAGAATTGGCAGCGGAAACCGAAGTGCTCGGAGAAAACCTGGCCCAGTGCCACTTTATCCACCACAAATCCCGTGCCACCGAGGCTGGAACCCGGCGACGAAACAGACTGAGCGAGGGAACGGCCCGCTACACTTGTTGGGGCGAGGTGCACCTGACTACATTTTCGTCTTGGTCAGGACAGTAAGTGTTTTGTCGTGGGGTGTCCTTCTTTACATGAACTGTTTAACGACGCTTTCAGTATTAAGACTTCGCTTCGTATGTCGGATGAGTGATGAATGGGAAAGGATTTGGAAGGAAGCGGTCATGATCTTATCGAGTACTACCCCAGTATTTGCCTGGAGGGACTGAGTAACGCCATGAAAACCCTCAGGATACCCGGTCTTCGGGCCGAATAATGGAACCAACCAGGGGAGGAGTGGTAATCATTTGACAAAGCTGTATGTACTCCATGCTGACTCCAGTTTCCTTATTGTTTCAGGTATAAGGTGAACGTCAAACCGAAGGATCCAGAAGCGGCCTATGTCAACCACGATGGCAAGGACAGTTTCGATCCTTTCAGAGAAAGGAAGCTGGACCACCCCACCACGTAAGTAGGGCAAGCCNGCCCGGGGGGGGGGGGGTCCGGGTCTCCAGATCGGGCCCCTTCGAGTATGCACGCGACTCTGTTTCGTTTGGAACATGAGACCATCGGCCGCAGAAGCTAGACTCATATTCGGGAGACGATCAGTTCGAATCCCGGCCGTGACACCTGCTGTCCTGGCCTAAGTGTCTCCTGCAAACAAATTCGGCGACGTAACCTTGATTAGGCCACGGTCGCTTCCCTATAAATCCTTCTCCAATTCATTAATCAACCCTCCATCCAATGCTCTAGAGCCTTGATGCCAGAAACGTCGTTGTGACCCAGAGAGAAAGCTAAGCTCTGAGAGCGACTGTCCGGTGTCTAAACATCTCTGAGGATGCGTCAGCAGATGCCGACGTAGACCCGTGTCGGGTCACAGTTGTCTCTCCGTCCTCCTGTCGCCTCCTCCCTCTCAGGTGCCAAGTTTCTCCGTCCTGTCGCCTCCTCTCTCTCAGGTGCCAATTCTCTCTCCGTCCTCCTGTCGCCTCCTCCCTCTCAGGTGCCAAGTTTCTCCGTCCTGTCGCCTCCTCTCTCTCAGGTGCCAATTCTCTCTCCGTCCAGTTGCCTCCTCTCTCTCAGGTGCCAATTCTCTCTCCGTCCTCCTGTCGCCTCCTCCCTCTCAGGTGCCAAGATTGTCCGCCCTCCTGTCGCCTCCTCTCTCTCTCTCTCAGGTGCCAATTCTCTCCGTCCTGTCGCCTCCTCTCTCTCAGGTGCCAATTCTCTCTCCGTCCAGTTGCCTCCTCTCTCTCAGGTGCCAATTCTCTCTCCGTCCTCCTGTCGCCTCCTCCCTCTCAGGTGTCAATTCTCTCTCCGTCCTGTCGCCTCCTCTCTCTCTGGTGCCAATTCTCTCTCCTTCCTCCTGTCACCTCCTCCTTCTCAGGTGCCAATTCTCTCTCCTTCCTCCTGTCGCCTCCTCCTTCTCAGGTGCCAATTCTCTCTCCGTCCTCCTGTCGCCTCCTCCCTCTCAGGTGCCAGTTTTCTCTCCGTCCTGTCGCCTCCTCCCTCTCAGGTGCCAATTGTCTCCGTCCTGTCGCCTCCTCCTTCTCAGGTGCCAATTCTCTCTCCGTCCTCCTGTCATCCACTCCCTTTCAGGTCCGAATATTCTAAACGCTCTCGTGTTGCAGGGACTGTGACACTCTGACTCACCTGCTGAAGGCGTCCCTGGGTACGGGTATCCTAGCTATGCCTGACGCCTTCAAGAACGCCGGCCTTACAGCCGGGGTGATCGGCACCGTGCTGGTGGCCATCATCTGCACGCACTGCGCCTACATCCTGGTGAAGTGCGCCCACGAGCTGTACTACAGGACCAGGGTGACCGCGATGAGCTTCGCGGATGTCGGGGAAGTCGCCTTTGCCAACGGTCCGCCGTGGGCTCGGAAATTCTCCAAGTTCGCGAGGTAGGCAACAGCAGGCGGCGGTGCCGCTGCGTCTTCTTGACTGATTATAGTCTCTGTAACACTTCCGTCTGTCGGGTTTCTCCTTTCTCTTCCTTATTTCATCCTCTTTGTTCTTTCCTGATCTCTTCTACTCTTTCTTTCCTATACTCCTCTTTTCCTCTCTGTTTTCTTCTTTCTTCCTTCCGCAGTCTTCCGTCTTTCTGCACTCATCTTTCCTTCCTTCTTCCTCAGTTTTTATTTCTTTCTTCCCTTTCTGTTTTCCTTTTTCTCTCTCCCCTTCCTTCCTTGTCTTCGCTCACTTCCTCCTCTTTCCCCCTTTCTTTCTTTCTCATACCTTCCGGCTTTCCCTTCTCCATCCTCCTTTCTGTCTAAGACTTCATTTTCGCCTCTCTCTGCCCCACCTTCCGTGGTTTTGTTCCGGATAGGAACTGGGATAGCCCAGTCGGTACGGCGACTGACTGTTGGCTGGGCGGCCGGGGTTCGATTCCCGACAAAGCCATTTAATTGTTCTTTATAGCGTCCTGACCGGCCCACCCAGCCTCCTATCCGATTGCTACCAGGGCTGTTTCCCCGGCGCCCGAAGCTGACCACTCACCTCAGTCTAGTGCCGAGGCCAAGAACGGTGGAGTTATACCCCATTCTCCACACGTCACCACAGCGTGGAGGATTCCCTATACAGAGAGAAACTCACCCACCCTCGACCCGTCGAAACGTGGGCAATATCGGCGCGGTGTGAGGGGCTGACGTCAGGAAGGAGGCCAGACTGTAGACACGCGTGTTGTGTTCTGTTGCAGACAGACGATTCTCGTGAGTCTGTTCCTGACCTACTTCGGCACCTGCAGCGTGTACACCGTCATCGTGGGCAACAACTTCCAGCAGGTGCGTGTTTAGTCAGCCGTTTGAGGGTTCCCAGGCAGTGCCCGCTCGTCCTTCTGGTAGAGGTACAGCGTGTGATCGGAATTACTTCTGATGACGTTGCAAGGGCTGCGTGTGAAGTTATCTTAAGACCGGTGGTCAGTCAGCCAGGCTGTCCTGGTGTCAAGCCCCCACTCTGGGCCTCAAGACCAGATTTTGATTACTGTCAGACATTTGCGGGTTTGTTGATGTGAGGTGCACCCACCTCAACAGTTCGCGTAAGCACCGGCTTGATAATAAAGCGACTCGCACAACATCGCTTTATGAAGTTCTGATTTACTGTCAAGTCTTTGACATAAATATAGAGTGACGTAGGTCGTTGCGTCATCATTATGAAGTTACTTCACCCTTCAGCATACAATGGAAACCAAAATTTCATTTTGTGGGTTCGATTACTAGTGAGGTCACTGGATTTTTCAATTGACCTAATCCTTCCAGCCGCACTGTGGCCCTGGGGTCGACTCAACCTCTAACATAAATGAGTACCAGGAATATTCTTGGGTGGTCAAGGGCGGCCGGCGCGTAAGGCTGACAACCTCACCGCCATCTGTGAGCTGACTGCCTAGAAAATGTGGGAGCCTCGACGTCTCACAACCATATGGGCCTCTACGGCCTCTTGCAGGGATAAACGGTAAAATTGTTCCTGTGCTTAACTAATTAAGCACTACGCCATGAAGGCGTATGGGAGAGTGGATGTATAAATTCACATTTTCTTGACCTCGGCACTGGTTGGAGGTCAGTGTTCAGCTTCACGCCCGGGGAACGAGGCCCCTGTACCCATTGGATAGGAAGTTCGGTGGGCCCCAGAGCCGGTCTGGACGACTTGGAGAAGTGAAAATTCTTGCCCTACCGGTACTCGAACTCCGATCCCTCGGTCGTCCAGCCCATAGCCAGCCGCTATACCGACTACGCTATCTGTTACAGGGATAGCTCTGCCTTTATACTTTTACATAAGATATGACGTACCCTCGAACATGTTTTGGACTGAGTATACCAAGCGGTTATAAACTTGATGTTTTCCCCCCGCAGGTGATCGAGCATCATACGCAAATATCCCTAGACCAGAGGGTGTACATCGCCGCCCTACTCCTACCCCTCATATTGTTGGGGTGGGTACCAAACCTCAAGTATCTGGCTCCAGTCTCCATGATCGCCAACCTGTTCATGGCTGTTGGACTCGGAATCACCATCTACTACCTGGTCCAGGACATACCCGATGCTTCTACGCTCCCTCAGTTCAATGCCTCCTTGAACACTATTCCGCAGTTCTTCAGCATCGTCATATTCGCCATGGAAGCAATTGGAGTGGTAAGTACAAGCTTCATATTGTTATTGTCACGTGTATCTGTGTGGCTTTGGATTGGTGGCTGGACTTATTGGCCTAGCCGTTGCCTGGTAACGGCTTTCAACAGCAGACAGTTCTTTAACTGCCAGGCGGGCGGCTATCTCATACCAATTTCACGATCTTCTCTTCACAGGCTGACTAACAACTGACTAAGCTCAAAGTCAAAGTCATATTGCGACTGGAGGTCGGTCAGTCAGTCAGTCAGTCAGTAAGTCTTGGTTCCGAGCCTCATGACTAGATATGTATTACTGTTTGACAGTTACGGTCTTGTTTTTGTGGGGCGCCCTCTCTTACGAGAGGACGGGTCTGTCGTTTGTATATGCTACTGTCCCTTGCCAGCGCAGTCTTTCTCGGGTCCTAGTCCCTTGGGAAAGCCGGATTGTACAAATCTGGCAGAATTCTCTAAGCACGTGTATGGCTCCAAAACAAGACGCAGACAAAACGCTAAGCTCTCATGTGCCGTGAGAACGGAAAAAAGTGATGCTCTTAACTGATATGGAATATGAGACTTGCTTCGACCACTTGACCTTGTTTCCAAAATGCGTTTTGAAATGTTTATATAGTAGTATCTTAATCTTCCACAGATTATTCCAGTCGGATAAGTCACTCGTGATAATCGGCGGAGAAAACTGGAACTATATCACACTACCGTATATCTCAAACATCTCTGACAGTTCAGTCCGCCTTCATCAGATAGCGATGTACATAATGATGTAAGGTAAATCTATCCCTGTAACAGGCCTTGAAGTCCCACAGGGTTGTGAGACGTCGAGGTTTCCACATTTTCTATACAATCGCCTCACAGATGCCGGTGAGGTTGTCAGCTTTACGCCCCGGCCACCCTTTACCCCCAGGAGGATTCCTGGTATTCATTTCTGTTAGAGGCAGAGTCGAACCCTGGGTCATAGTGCGGCTGGAAGGATTAGGCCAATTGAAAAATCCACCTCATCGGGACTCGAACCCGCGACCTTACGGCTTGTGGCATTTTGGCCCTGACGTCTGATAGGTGTGTTTCAGTAGCCATTAAATAACCCACGAAAGGAAATATTTATTAAGCCCAATAACTGGTTTACTTCACAGTCATAGTACTGAAACCAGGCTAATGACTTTATATATGAACCTGAATACACTGTAGCATGCTAACTAACAGCATAGCCGTCACATGTATCGAAATCTTCATGTTACACCGGTATGGGTCCCTGAGGGTCTGTATACAAACATCGCAAAGGAAAACTGCATCAGCTGTGTTTCAGACGTGTTGCTAACGTCAGCAAACGGTACATCATTTCCACACGAGACTGGCAACAAACAGCAGGTGTTTGCTATATCTGCACGTCGCAAAGTATTAACGTTGATGATATTTACATAACGGTTTTAACCTTTCTTGTCCTCAGCTTTTAAAGAAAACTTTAGCCTGCCCCCTCTTTTGTTTGCATATTTCCCTATATATACATTTATTCGTTTAATAATTTATAAACACTCGTTTCGTTTCACTGACAGGTACAGGGCTATTCGAAGAGTAGCCAGCTGATAGGTGAGGGCGATTGTGGAGCAATTGGTGGAATGAAGATTGACAGGGGAAACCGAAGTACTCGGAGAAAACCTGCCCCAGCGCCACTTTGTCCACCACAAATCCCACTTGACCAGACCCGGGATCGAACCCGGGCCGCCGCGGTGGGAAGCCAGCGACTAACCGCTTGAGCTATGGCGCGGCCTACATGTACCTTTGTATATAATAATTTTTTCCTCATTACTTGTTATCAGCTCACCAGAGGTTATTTTCCTAATAGCTCTCATAAATAATGAGATATCTCGAGATTGACACTGAAGCGGTTGAAGCAGGTGCAATTAATGTAATTATCATTCTTCGCCTAGCAGACCGCTGTTGGCGTGAGTAAATTAATAGAAATGAAACAGACAGTGCATGTTGCATTCATTGCGAATTAATACAATCTCTGCTTAGAAGACCACAAGGCTTCATTCAGCACCACGCCATAAGGACGCATGAGGGAGTGAATGTATACCTCCATCGTGCTTGACGTCGGCATCAGACAGATGTGACTTGTCAGACTCACGCTCCCGCGGCTTTACTCTCTAGAAAAGAGCCGCCAGTACCTTCTCTGTAGGAGATTTGGTGGGTCCCGAAGCCGGTCTGGACACTGTGAAGGAAAAATCTCTTGCTCCTGGCGGGAAATGAACCCCGATTCCAAGGTCGTCCAGCCCATGGCTGTTCATTAATTTATATAGTAACCACTGTGACTTAGAGCGTTAATCCCCGGACACGAAACCAGATAATTATCAGAATGAGCAGGAAGTACCGCACCGCTATATTGAGAAGTGGTCGACCCTGTAGTATTTCTGGATACACGGGCACACAGTGATTGCTCTATTTTAGGTGTGGTGCTGGCACGGTGCCCACAGAACAGCACCCTCACAAGGAATTGCAATGGTACAGTGACCGACACTGATATCTGAAAACATTACTTATCCCTCTCGGGTCCATAGCATTAAGAAGCCAACAGAGTATTCAAGGCAGAAAAATAAATAATTTTTGGTATATATCCACTTTTTCAGTTACCCCAAAATCCAGGGGGTAGCAGATACCTGGCTACTCCCTTTCAGCTGACACCCATTACTGAGTTTCACAATATGGCGCCAGTTACAGACGCTAACCTGACCTTACAACATGCGATTACCGAATTGTGTTTGAAGCCCCAATTTTACTGTTTTCAGGTGATGCCTCTGGAAAACAACATGAAGTCGCCACGACATTTTCTCGGTTTGGGAGGAGTTCTCAACCAAGGGATGGCCGGTGTGACACTGATCTACATTTTGTTGGGTTTCCTCGGGTACCTGAAGTACGGAGACAAAACTGAAGGCAGCATCACGCTGAATCTTCCTCTGGATGAAATGTGAGCAGCGTCAAGTGTCTCTAGCCTTCAGCTCTAGCATCACCTCAGACCCCCTCCTACAGGATCTATGCAACGTCTACATCTTATACCTATAACAAAGTTCCTTGCCAAATACAAATATAAAAGGAACTATCATGTACTATGCCACTTTGAGGTTGTGTAATTATCAGATAATGATGTAGATTGTTATGTCATCAAATTCTATTTTCAAAATAGAGTGCAAATTGGAAGTCCTGTGAACACAAAATACAGGGTGATTCAGAAAGATGGACACAATTTCAATTGGCTATATTTCCTGAATTATATGTTGCATTTGAATTCTGTAAATTACACTTGATTATACATACATGGAAGTTTATAGATGTTCAATGTGCCCCCCCCTCCTCCGGCTGCACGGATAACATCTAGACGGTAGCTGAATTCATCCTACACTCGATGACAAATATCTTGCGTCACTGAGTTCACCGCAGCTGTGATACAGTTTCTTAGGTCATTCAAATTTGTGGGAAGAGGTGGTACACGCCACACAGTCGTTTGCGATAGTCCAAGTTCTCTACTAGCACTACGGGTTGACTTCATTGGGCTGCGCTCAAAGTTCACTCGAATGCACTCCACGTTCTCCTCCGATACACGCGATCGGCCCGGGACGCAGTGATGGAGGGCACTAGCGGTAGTACTAGAAACTTTGTAACTTCCTCTTTCAAATGTACTTTACAGAATTCAAATGCAACATACAGTTCAGGAAATATAGTCAATTGAAATTGTGTCCATCTTTCTGAATCACTCTGTATGCTTCCATAAGATTGCGTAACCAAAGTATGGCATACCTTAAGCGGCCTCTGTAGTCTAGGGGTAACGTTCCCACCTCATGACTCAAGGTACACGGGTTCAAACCCGGCGGAAGTCGTGGAATTTTTAAGGGCGGAAAAATTCAGGGAACAAGTCCTCTGGGAGGGACTTCAAGCTGTGGGTCCCGTGTCGTAGATTTACAGCACGTAAAAGATCCTCATGTCTCTAGGAGACCTCTGAGCAAAATTAGGCAACAATTTCCCACCCAAGTAGTTTCCAATGCCTCTGGTAGATGGAGGAAATATCAGGTACCGACGGCCAACCTCGTTGGCCGAACGGGGCTGATAGCATGCACCAGTACTGGTAGGGTATGGCGACAGTAGAAATTAAAGGGGGACGCACAATGGACCAATAACTGGTCTAAGTGCACGGGGAAACCCACCCCCTCTAATAATAATAATAATAATAATAATAATAAAATAATAATGGTGTACCTTCACAGATGTTTCACACAGTTAGTTGAGTACAGTATTTCCCAATCTTTGGCCCACCACCCCCTTGGTTCCATGAACTCGTCCCCAGTGCCCCCTGCCCTACCCTATCAGAATAGTGGTTTGCACAACCCACTAAGGTAGATAATAACAATACGATATCACATTCAGTAACTGCTTCACTGTTAGTAAATTCTTAATGCGGTGGATGGGCTTGAAGAAGTGATACCAGTTTCCCAGTGTCTGGTCTAAAGTGACTTCAGTCATAAATAAATGAGCATTGCACTTGGAGGTGCCCACCTCCTGCACCCCCTTAGGAGGAGAGAAAAATCTCTTGCCCCTTCTAGGAATCAAAACACCTGATCCTTCACCCAGCCAGCCTGTCTCATTACTGACTGATTCATTACCATTCTGTAGCAGCATGAAATTCCAGAACCGTTTCATCTTACAGTCTTGTGTTTCAGACCTGCCCAGTCGGTGAAGATCCTCATTGCTTTAGCTGTGTACTGCACGTACGGTCTGCAGTTCTACGTGTGCCTTGAAATCGGCTGGAATGGAATTAAGAACACTTTCACCAAGCGACCCGTTGTGTCAGAATATGCCATGCGGACATTCCTAGTTATCTTAACAAGTAAGTGGTTCAGACACCCAGGACAGTATGTTACACATAAGAAAGTGCAACTTCTTGGGACAAGGTCATTTTGCAATGCTGTCAGTAGCCAGATGATGGACGATGAATTAGAAAAATCTGAAAGGAAGTGGTCATGGCAAATAATTTAAAGAGGAAAGGCCGTCAACAGATCTTCAGCTGAATATTGGAATGTTCTGTCCCCACTTTTGGGTGATATTGAAAATTGTGGGTTCAGTTCCCAATGTCACTGGATTTTTCAATTGACCTAACCCTTCCAGCCGCACTATGGCCCTGGTGTTGACTCAGCCTCTAACAGAAATGGGTACCAGGATTCTTTCTGGGTGTAAAATGTGGTCAGTGTGCAAGGCTGATAAAGTCACTGCTATCTGTGAGCTGATTTGTCTACAAAATGTGGGAGCCTTGACATACCAGAACTCCATGGGCCTCCATGGCCTCTTACAGAGACAACTTTACCTTGTTCTGAAATAATGAACTCTTCCATTTCTCTGCACTGTGTTGCACTATCTCCACATAGTTCCATAGGTTTACCAAAGTGTGAGATTTTAGAATGTGTTTTGTTCTAAGTCACATTCAAACTGCATTCAATTCCCTGACTTCAAACCCAGTTTCCCAGAAATTGGTGTTGATGGCCATAGTGCACCCCAGTACTCAAGTGATAAGGCAATTTAGCATATACGAATATTACAAAAATGTCAGTCTAGGATTATCAGAACACTTACAGGAATGTATAAGATCTGAGGACTTTCACATTGGTGAGGATTTGGATTGCGGGTTGTATCGCCCTGTAGTTGGCAGGGTGGTAATTGAGAGTTTGGAGAAACCTGTGCCTCCATCTTTAAGGAAGAAGGCTGTACTCTTTAATGATGGGGACAGCAGGTTTCTTCAAAAAGATGGTAACCATGTTATCATAACCCAAAAGACCACATTCTTTTCTGTTAAAAAATAATTTGTCTTTTTATATTCCTCTATAAAATGCCATTGTTTCCTGTTACAGTTGTGCTGGCGGTAGCTGTTCCTACAATAAGCCCCTTCATCAGCCTCATTGGTGCACTGTGCTTTTCCATTCTGGGACTAATAGTTCCTGCTTTCATTGAAGTTATCACATTCTGGGATCATGGACTCGGGCATTATCGTTGGAGACTTTGGAAGAACGTTCTTGTCAGTATATTTGGCTTGATGGCGCTGGTGTTTGGTTCCTACACCAGCATTAAAGAAATTGCAAAACTCTATACAGACACTCCAAAATCATGAAGAGTGTATTTTATTAAGGACACAAGGTTTTATCTTGCCACTTTCAATCCCAGCAGCCTTATTGGACTGACCATTTTTTGCAGTTTACTATTGGTTTGCAGTATTTCACAATAAGAGTGGCAAAAGATGTATATCTAAAGCCCTGTATGCACTAGGGCACATGTTGCAATACAAGTTGAGCAACTTGTATCAGGGGACATGTCGCAATGACATGAGACACCGATACATCCGTCCACATTCTATGTTATGATGTTGCACGATCGTTCTTCCACTGTACATTCATTGCTGGTCCCGTGACATGTCTACTCTGCACAACAATGGGGACATCCTTTGATGTTTCCTCATGTTTCCACCTCTCAACCAATAACCGGGCACATGATATCTGTTGCGGAACTCTAGGCACATCAAGCAACTGTCCCGATACAGTGTGCTGCAACATTTGTGCCCTAGTGCATACAGGCCTTAAAGAACAACGGAAATAGCAACAGAGGTAAGACCTGTGCTTGTCACAATGTGCTACTACTTGACCTTGTTACGATATTGCACTCTGGATAGACAGCCGGTAAATGACCAACATTGGATATGGGAGGGAAATGGTCAAGTAAGTATAAAACCCTCCTAGTAATGTAAAACCTTGTAAGATTCTTCCAGTCATTACAAAAATCCACTGCTGCTACGGTGGTGGGGGCATATTTCTGTTTGCAACTGGCATTCCTGTCTACAATGAACATTAACAAAACAAATTTTGTTTAAAATGGTTCATTGTGTGTATAGAAATAAAACTGTGAATTCAGTTGATTTCAAAGACTCTTAAGTACATTATTTTTCCTGCACCAGATACAAGCAGTGTTAATGAAAATCAGTATTTCAATTTACAGCTGTCTTTACAATTCTAAAGACTCTACTGAACTTTCATTTGTTATATTTTTTATGAACTGTGCATACAAATTCTTTTTATACATAATTTAGAATGACCTATAATCTAGTTCACACAGGTCTGTGTTATTTTGTAACTGACTGTATATGGAGTCTGTGTATGAGGAAACGATAAAACTGTCACACATAATCATGGTTCAGAAATTTCTGAAAATCTGGTAGTGTGACAACATCGACTTCTCTGGATGTGGTTCATCATTTCTTCTGTGCCATAAGTGACTGAGTGAGACGCCCAGAAATGTGAAACCCACCATCCAAATGCTGGCTGAGAAATTCACAGCCAAAATTTGGAAATCATCACTGGCAACCAGGCATTCATACTTTTCTTACTGCTGTGTGTAATACAGTACGCAACAGCAGTTAAAAAGCAATTGCTCTGACAAGTATAGTAGGTAAAATTCAATGACAATTTGATAAAAATCACTTGCAAGCACCTATAATTGTTTCATGAATTGATATAAATTCATCGTGGGCAAAGCAAATTTTTTAAAATACAGAGTTTCTGTTTGGTAATGTATTTCACAAATTTTTGTAGTGGTTAATAAGCTAGTTGTAATGATGGAGCACACAGTGTAGCAACATTCACAATATGATTGCAAACATAGATATCTGTGAATGACAGAATGAATGAGAATTCTATGAAAATGTACCTCGTAAGTGCTACACAGAATGAGTGTTTCACACAACCATCATACAACAAGCACTCAAGTGCTTAAAAAGGAACCGTCCGTTTTTTTAATTTGTTTGGTTTCAACTCCCAACACTCGTACAATTCCACAAGATACACAGACAGATCTATATATGCAGCATTTATATGTGGTATATGAGAAAACTTTGTTCCTGACACTGAAATATTAAGCTTCATATACTAAAAATTTGGTTTTAATTTGGAGTCACTTCATAAAAGCCACATGTTATAATGGGACACAATGTGATATGTAAAACAGTGATAACCAGTTATCTTTAAACACTTGTAAAATTTAGAAGAAAATGAGAGGGAAATATGACATTATGGTAACATAATATGATGTGTTAATTTAAAAAGTAACATTGCAACAACAAAAAATGCTGCAGTTCATAGGAAATTCTGAAAGAGTATTGTACATGAAAACAGGCAGATCATTCTTGCTTCTGACAAACAAATATAAAAACGAAGAAAGCAGTCTTCTGGGATTTGGCACACGGTGCCAAATCCCAGAAGACTGCTTTCTTCATAGTCACTGCCGTGAAAGCCTCAAATCTTACAAATATAAAAACTTTGTGAAATCTGATATATTTGCAGTGTTTTGTTCTATGTGGCATCCTGTAAGTCTAGAAACATGGACAGTATCAGAGTTCTGACACAGCTGTTACAAAATATCCTTAACATATCTACCATTCATGCTGATGAAAATGTATAAACACTGTGAGCTGTTTTTGATATGACCTCACTCTGTGCAGTGACATTTTGCTTTTGAGAATGTTATTGCCTACTGTTCCAGACTTTTGGGATATTCTATGCATCTTGCATTTTCGCATGTTCATATATAGTCATATGTACAATGCAGTCTTCATTTAAGGTTGCTTTTGGGTTCAGTGGACTTGAAAACCAAGCTCAAGAAAGTCTTAAACGGAGGAGATATAACGCTGAGTTTATTGATTTGGGATCATGGGAACTGAACAATAAATGTGAGAAAATGTGAAATCAAGTAACATCAATTGAGAGTTCCACTGTAAAGCTAGCTATCCCTGTAACAGGCAATCGAGGCTCCCACATTTTCTAGACAATCGGCTCACAGATGGCAGTGAGGCTGTCAGCCTTTACCCCCAGGAAGATTCCTGGTACTTATTTCTGTTAGAGGTTAAGTAGACCCCAGGGTCATAGTGCAGGACTGGAAGGATTAGGTAAATTTAAAAATTCAGTGACCTCATCAGGATTTGAAACCACGACCTTCCAGCTTGTAACATAGTGCCTCAACCAACTACACCACTCCATGCCCCAGTTCCACTGCATATTAGCTTTCCTTGCTCTGCTTAGCCAGAGGGACTTATACACCACTCTGTACACTAAACCTTAAGCACAGATAAGTTATGTCAAATGAAAAATCAGTGGGAATCACGTTTCGTTTTGTAAAGAAATGCCCATGGAAAATATTTGTTTAAAATGAGTGGTTGCCTGACAGTTCAGATTTTTTTCAAATGCAAGTTATGTTCTTACAAGAAACATGGACTGAATTAACTTCAGTACAAGGGAATGTTGTTGATAGAACAAATTGTTCCAATGAAAATAAAAGATTGATTTTATGTACTGCACCATCATTTTGTCTCTCTGCATGTAAATCATATTTTTCTATCACTCTCAAACTCAACACAAAACGCTCAGGATGCTGGTGCAGTGATAACAATGGAGACTTGTATTTGGGGAGGGGGCTCAGCTTCAGTGTTGGCCACAACACCAGCAACTGAGGTTTCTTATGGTCTTCCTCAGTCCCTCCATGCAACTGCCAGAATAGTACTTCAATTAGGCCACAAATGCTTTCCATTTCATCATCCACCTCTCCTACCATTTGACAGTATATCATCTTGACTATTGGCAGGGTCATAAAATAGCCCCCCAAAAGGATACTGTGGCATATCTGCTCACAGCAAAAACTGTGAAGCCACAGAAACAATGAAACACCATTCATTTCTAGGCAATGGTCATGAAACAAACAGAACTTCTGTTATTAGGCAGCAGATTCTTGATAAGTGATAACTGAACAAGCAACAGAGTAATAGTGTTTTCTGTGCAGTCCATGCCGAGATGTTATAACCAGGACAGTCTGGGGCAACCAGTCAGTTGCAAGAATACTCAGCTGTAAGTCAGTCTGTGAAGAGAAGACTAGAAGGTTGGTGTGAAATGGCTGCCAGCATGGCAGTTCATTCAGCCTTGGGGTGTGTGCCAGATTGTATGGACGTAAGCGGACAGTATTAAAATCCATTACTAGGAAACGTCTAGTAAAGACTGAGAAGACTTTATGTGTGCTGTAGTTACAGTGATATTTGGAGTGTGTGACCCTGTGAGACTGTCATAGTTACTTGTAGTTAGTATCTCTAAGTGGTCAATAAATTCAATATCCAATCCGAAACCATGTTGAGAGTCACTCATATACAAAGATACCAAACAGGCTGGTGTAATGGTAACACTCGAGACCCGTACTCAGGTACTCAGATCCAATCTTGACCAAGACACGGACTATTCTGAGATTCTGTACTCTTTTCCTCAGTTGCTCCATGTAAATTCTGGCATTAAATCATGACTGCTACCTTCAAAATGTTTTCCAATTCATCATTCATGTATCATCCTACCGCTTCATGCTATATTTTACAGCTACTGACAGCATCATAAAATAATACACACACAACAGAAACCACTGGCATGGTTCTCAACTTTCGTAACATCTGATTATAACATACACTTACTACAATAATCACAAACTTTATGAAGAGATAACATAATCACCTTGTTATGTGAAAGCCTCATTTTCTTACCACAGAATTGTATACCACTAGGTACCAATCTTTACTGATAAAATTCCACCAGTACATCTCAACTCCATCCCATTTAATTCATAGTCCTAACACTCGGCAGTGTAGCTCAATGTTCCTCTCCATCAATGCTGTTTCTGTTGCTATGAAACCAAACTTAACAGGACAAAATCTAATTGCTGTGAAAGTATTTCATGGCAAATGGGGGAAGGATGAGGCTGTCGCACTGGCTCGTGTCTCCACTGCACAAAACAAGTGGGATTTCTTACTGTACAGCTGATGGAAGGCAGAATTGCAACGTACAACATACTTGCAGTGGTCAGTGACATGAACATACTTTCTCACAAAAGAATGAGTGAGAAAACAGAACACAAAACTTTGTCTAAAACATCTCAAGTAGTTCTGCGTGTTCAGCAGTAAGTTCTCTGGAAACATCCTTATAGGAAAAGTTGCATCTTTCAGGATATAATGCCATTGAAATCAACCAGTGTTTTGCAGGAACATATGGCCTCCATCTTTGAGGTCAAAGAATAACCCAAGGAAGGAACCAGCATGAAGCAGGTAGATGTAAGGACCTCAAATAGTACGTCCTTCATAGATGTCGTATGATCATATGAGTAACATCGACCTTCATGATGGCAAGAAGACATTTATGGGTGTAAATAATGATGCAGGCTCAAAGATGTTTCAAACAAGATGCAGATAATGATGTTTCAGAAGAACACGCTACCTCCATCTTCAAGGTTGATGTGCATGGACAAGCTGCATGGATGGGAGAGGAAGCCTGGCTGGGCCAATAGCAAAGATGAGCAGGAAAACATCCTGTTTTAGGATCACAAGTCGCTGAACCGTTGCTAATCCCATCTTCACCCTACCACCTACAACCATCGTGAAGTCGGGAGCGGTTCATCGTCACAGGCTCTTGCGTCATGTTCACAATATTCCCTAAGATCATCGCTGGGAATCCAAGCTCGCAGCAGAGGGCCTATCAGAAGTTATAATGATCGACCATATAACAATAACAGGATTTAATGAGAACAAAACACAATATAACGCACTACAAGAATATACAGTGTTGCTGACAATCCAACATACACGGCTGATTTCAGCCCAATACTTATCTGCACTTTGCGGCATCAAACTCAGCCGACATGCCCAGTTCCACTGGCCCACCTACATTATGTACGGAAGTCATTACACCACAACACGACTTCACTACTGCGTCTTGGTCAGCCACAGGCGGACCCAAAGAAAATATATATACTAACTAAACAATTGGTCAGCCACAGGCAGCCCCAAGAAAATATATATACTAACTATACAACTCCGCGTACTGTCGCCATCCCTTTCCCCTG